GGGAACTCTCGACGTGACTTGCGTTTGGTACACTGGTTTTGATGCAGTGAACTCTCGACGTGACTTGCGTTTGGTACAGTAGAATCAGTAGACAGCCTTCAAATTTTGTAGCACCGGCCATCACGGCCCTCCACCACCTTACACTTGTTTTTCCTCATGGGCCAACAATCGTACAAAAACAAGTGCAAAAACAGTCAAACAGTAACCTGCTTGTTTTCCTTAATAATTACTTTCTTTTGTGTGGCTCGTGTGGCTTGCCATCACTGCCGAGATCGCCGCAGGTGCCGAAAGGCGTTGCGAAGCCCTGGTCCCATGCACGGCGCGTGCTGGAGAAGCAGGGTTTGGTCCTGCTGCGAGGGCTTCTGCCCAAAGATGCTGTGGCTTGCGCGCGGACAAGGTGACCACACAAGCCATTGGGTGCGGTGTCCCACACTCACCCCAGATTAAACAACTTCATATAGAATATGTAATAGAATATGTTAACGTCCGAGGCATGACGTCAAGTATAGCAGCTGTAAATGAGATCAAAGATGATCAAAGATGATCAAAGCGGTCAACTGGCCTGCTTGGGTCACCCTGTCGTGTGGAGGAAAAACCGTGTAGGTCTTCAGCTCCTCAGTTGGGGCCCTTCTCTACTAAGCCTTACTAAGCTCGTCCGAAATCGATGTCGATGTCGAAAAGGGGCAGGTCATGTTGCGTCGCCGTCTGCGGCCCTGCAGCGGCCTGCCGGTTCATTCCTTCGATGCGTCGCCAGTGAGTGGACATCGCCAGGCTTTTGACTGAGTTGAAGCAGCTCAAAGCGGTCGGAGCTGGTGCAGAGCTGTCCCCAGAATGCGCAGAGGGCGAGGTCGGATGCACGCGGGGTCGAGTGCCGTGGGCCGGGTGGGTGGGCCCAATTGACCGTTGAGAACGTGAATCTCTGAAGCTGTGACTGAGCACAACCTGCAATGTGCTCAAATTAAAGATACATCCAAAATCGAGCAAAAACGTTTAAACACCACAAAGGCAACAGTACTCAATAGGATCCGCACCATTTTTCCAGCGATTTGCACCGATGGACCGCTGCCGGACCATCACCTGTGTTCGCGGTGGGTGGTGTTCTGGGTGCACAGGCCTCAGACATCCCAGGTGCCCATGCCTTCGCTCCTTCGTCGCTTGGATCTTCAGGCTCTTCCGGAGGCGTGTCTTCGAGACCTCCGCGATCCGTGCCGCGACGCGGATCTGCGTCGGGTGCCACGTGACGGTGACGTTGGCGATCGAGGGGAGCAAGGGACAGGGGAGCGATTGAAGGGACATGTGGTGCGATGGGACATGAGGCGATGGCAAGCGGACATGAAGCGAACTGACATCCCTTGGAAATGACGCAAGCTCGCCGGAAAGATCTTGTGGCTGGCATTGTTTGGCCACAAGGGTGTTGGGTGGGATGTGTTTTTCAGGGTGGTGAATGGGTCTTTGATGGTCTTTGTATTTGTAATTTAGTATATATAAGTTGGCCAGGCAGATGAACATGAAGAGGTAGGTCAGAAATGGTCAGAATGCTTCGCACTCAGAAGTGAGTCACCGTGACCCTATGGACTAGCCGATCTGCAAACACAGGTTCACCCTGTGGTCCTTTGGTGGCTCAGTTTGCCCACCTACATCCATGCGTCACCACGACTTGTAAGATACTTTTTCCATTGTTCGGTGCCAATTCCGGAAGATGATTTGACGAGATTCGTGGTAGAACACCCGATGATTGAGTGTCAGCCTTTGTTGTCAGGTCCAAGCAGTCTTGGAGCACGCGGCGCTTTTTGATGCAACCGCGCGCGGCTCGAATTGCCTGTGAACCGGGGATGGGCTGGCTTGGGAATGCCAAGGGGGAGGAGGTCAGAATCCATTTCCTCTTTGTTCTTGCCGGTCACCAGTGTCGGGAGTTGATGAGAATCCTGAGAGTGACCGTTCACAGTCTTCACCCTCTATGGTTCCTGCATGATCTTCAAAGTTGCAATGGTCAATCTCATCCCCCCAAAAAGCCCGATCACCCATTGACGGGGTTTTCTTCTTTTTCCCACAGTGAGGTGCACTTATTTCATACCTGGAACTTCCTCAGAGTGCTTTTTTTCCGATCTGCGGCGTGAAAAACATCTGTTGGAGTCACAGACTTAAATTTGAGTCTGCGGATGTTTTCTGATATTTTTTCATATTTTTCTGATATTCCATGGGCGTTTATACACACGCATACAAAAGCTAAGGGCGTTTATTGGGCCAAAGGCGGCTTTTTCCCGAACATTTTTTAAAGCGGATGTTTATTTCGGTTGCGGATGTTTATGTGGTTCACAGACAAATAAAGGTACGTTGAACCACCGACCAAAAAACGGCAACCACGAGGTTGCAGGTATGGACTTGACCTGGTGGAGGAAAGATGAGGAATTTTGGAGACACAGAGACACGCACCCACCAAACCATGTGGTGTTCAAATCAACCGGTATACTAGGAGATGCTAGGAGCATCCAGTGCAAATCATGTTGAAAACAAACACAGCGTGGCCATGCTGGGAAAGGATGAGCAGGACCCACCCAAACATGGATCATGACATATCATGACTTGTGACGCACTGGGCTTCAACAGAAGCAAACGGCAGCAAACGGCATGGATCGTAGAAGTTCCAACCGAAAAGCAGCGGACCAACCGCGCAGACCCGCAGTGCCTGGGTGTTGGGATGGGCTCCACCTCGGCTCAAAGGACCCATACTTCGACGTGCCTCAGGCCTCTTCTGGGCCCCGTTCATGCCGAAGGTGCATGAACGTGCTCTTTTTCTTGGCCACTTCAATTCCTGCCGGTTTAGCATTGATTGGTGCCCTGGTGTGTACCTGGCAAATCCGGTGGGCATGGACTCTTTTGGGAGCAGTCATTCTTGACACTTTTTGCCTGTGGCTGAAGAAACTCATCCAACAGCCCCGCCCAGCCACCCCAGCGTTTGTCCTTGACAGCGAGGGTCTCTTCGGCATGCCGTCAGAGCATGCCGCCTTTGTGTTCTTTCTGACTGTACACCTGGGGCATCGGATAGAACATGACTGGGGCTCAACTTCTCAGAAACTCCTGGAATGGTTGTTCTTGCTGACTTGGGGAAGCACTTTGATCTCTGTTCGATATGCGTTTGGAGCACATTCTCTCCAACAGCTTGTGGCAGGTGCAGTGATTGGTTCTTTGGCAGGAATCACTTGGTCACGCTTAGAGGTGACGGTTCAAGATCTTCTGCTGCGAGGCCAGAGGTTCACAGATGCATCTCGCAGGTGCGTGCGCCTTCTGTACGGCATGGGTACACCACACAATGATTGAAAGCAACTGGAGGTTTCTTCAATCTTTCTCCAAAGTTCTATGCTTCTTCGTGCTACAGGATGCGACCGGACGTCGAGGACTTCTTGTGCCCGGAGCTTTGCCCAGGGCTACCCGCAGTTGTGACAGCTGAACGAACGACAGTGCACCACAAGGCACCACCGCTGTGTTCTCAGCTGCGAAGCTGCGCTGAAAATGGGTGCGACGGCTGGACCTCCACGCCGCTGGGGTTGGATTCGGAAGTCTATGGTCGACCTGGTCGCCCCCGCGGGTCCGGGTATTGACGGATATGAAGAACATGACCGCCCCTCTTCGATCTCTATCCGTTGGAGCGCATTTCCCTGGTGAAGTTGGGGGGGCTTGGCAGGGGCTCCCAGGGTAGCTAGGTAGCAAGGTCGTTGCCTCATGTGGCCGGACACTGCCATCCGAAAGCGGGTGTTTGGAGCCCTGGGGCTGGCCTGAGGGGAGTCAGTTCTCCAAGAAGCTTCCAGTTGTTCTGCAGACCGTGGCATACCACGGGGTCCAGAGATGTCGGACTCGAGTCCTGGTCCGTCCGGACTGGATTCGATTGCTCTACCGCTCAAGTTCACACACTCACATACTGTTTCGCCAGAACTGTTAATGTAGACTCTTAGATGAATCAACCTCCCCTTTGAAGAGGGTGTTCAATTCAAATCGGGGGGGTGTATGAATCAAGAGTCTACATGTCAACGTCATCGGTTCGTCGCACGGGCTCTGTTGAAAGATGTGTTTTTGATCTTTACGGCCGCTTTTCTCGGCCACATCTCTGGGGCCCCATGATCGATGTGGCCGATGAGCCGCGCAGTTTGTATATCATGAGGAGGGGATCTAAGTCGGACGCAGCCTATGCTATGTCTGGGATGTCCAATGACATGACATGACATGACATGATGAAACCACATAGATAAACGCGAAGCACAGTCACGTCCACTCGCAATTCCTGCTGATTTCACTGCTCCTCTTTGGGAGGCTGTCCGGCACCGGAACGAAGTGCACCCAGGACTTCTGCAAACGGACGAAGTGGTCACCACCTGCTACAAGTGGCTTCGGGCGGTTCCTCCCAAGGCGCGCCGAGCGCGCGCACATGGGGGGGAGCTTCGATCTTTCTTGTGAATCACAACGGGCCGGGACCGGGACCGTAGATGCACTGCTATGGGCCATGGTGATCGACATATATATAATTATAGGCAGGGATACTCTTAGTATAGATTTTACAGCAGATTTCTAGATCAGGCATGAGACAATCCAAAGCTCTTCATTGGGGCTGCTCCACGCTTGATTTATTTGAGGATCCTTGAGTGAGTCCCACTCTGATTTTCCAGTCTTTGTCCAATTGCCCACATGGCATTTCAAGGTATATATCTTCAGGCACCAAGCCATACCAGATACTGGGACACTTTACGGCACCAACATGGCGGCAGATTCTACCAGAACATACCACCACTACGTGTGCTTTTTGATTGCCACATCATATGGTCTTGCTTCAGGCACAGCACCCGATTCTTTTTTCAAAAACACCTCCCGCCTCCCCACATCCAGCTTTCACCGGAAATCCCTCTGATCTGGAGGCCTTCACTGGTCCTCACATGGATCGCGCCTACGTGGGCGCTGGCCCGCGGCTCACGGCCTGGATACCGTTGGGCGATGTGAGGTGCGACGGTTTGGGGCTGGTGGTGGACCCCCAAAGGAGGCGAGATGTCAATATGTGTGTGTAGGGTTTGAATAGGGACAGCATGGGAGATGCCCAGACCAGAACCCACATGTTTGATGGGTTGACTAGTCAAGTCCACTACTGGTCGAGCGGTCCAGGGGGTTGGAACGCCGCTATGGAGGTCCCCCTGTTTTGAATGCGAGAACCCATGTTTTGGCGCTCTCCAGCGAGAAGGTCACCATGAAGACCTGGAGTTCAATCATGAAGACCTGTTGCGGCTCATGCTCCCAGAGGAACAGCAGCCTCGTGGTGTGGTTCTGGCGAGCGGTTCATGATTCCTCACGGTGTGCCGGTACCAGGTTGTGACGTCCACAGCAAGAGATTGGACCATGTTGTAGACTGTTGAATGTTAGAATGGTTTACACAGTCTACATTCGACTGGACACCCAAATCGGTGGGTCGGATGTGGCGGAGCTGGGATCCACGGCCAGGTGTGGCCAGGAGGAGCTGGGAGCGCTTTGTTGGGTGCCTGGGTCCCATCGTGATCCCCAAATCACCGAGAGGCACCACACCGGTCGAAGCAGTGGCAGAGTTGGGTTGCAACGCTAGTGGTGGTCTGGCTAGCCATGGCCTCCAACCTAATAGCGATGGCCTCCATTATGAACAGGTTTCCAGCAGCTGAGGATAGAAGGGTATGGCTTAGGGCAGGCTACTGCAATTCTTTCCGGTTCTTACAGCATCTATGAGACCAGCCACGGTGGATCTAAGAAGTCCATCTTGCGTGGCCACTGTGGGACGGTCAAAATGATCACTATCATCCTCATTCACCATCTTTTTTCACTTTAAATGAAAGATTGAAGAGCTTTGGAGGGAGGAAATTTGACCACTTGAGGTACCATAAGTGTGTTGCAGGATGCTAAGGGTAAAGGGTTGTCAATGTGGAAGGGTCAAAAAGCAAAACGGTGGTCCCAGTGGATCCCAGTGGTATTTATACTGTATCTGTATAACTGTACACCAGGAGTCACAAAGGGGTGGTGTTTGGCCCCCAAGTGAGTGGATAATGGGCACCCCTAACCTCCATTAAGCACCCCTTTGTGACTGCTGGTAATGAGATATAATGTATATTTATTTATTGGGTGTGTGTAACTCCAACTCCTTTTGGCAGTGGCAATCCCGGAGTTGATAGACAACATGCGGCCTGTAGGACTACTCATGCCTTCCTTCCCCGCATCCGCGCAGGTTCAAGGATTACGACCGCGCGGGGTCCGACGGAGAGAGGACAGGGACACACCACCAGGGCTCTTGAGGGCTGGGGGTGAAGATCACAGTAGGGAAAACGCCGGAGCACTGACAAACCACGGTGGGGCGAGGAAACCTTCCAAAAAGACCTGGAGGTGGAGGACACTATAGAAAATCTCGTCATTTCTACTGTGAAGGTGTGGGTCAAGCTGACTTAGCCGTCCATGTGCCAGTGCCTCCGCTTGTTGAGGCGATCTTCATCGCCCAACTCTTTCGGAGATCTCCTGCGGTTCCCTCCCTGTTTCTCTTTTGTCATGTCTTCAAGTCTTCATCAGATTTTGGGAGTGTGGTTGAAAGGCCCAAGGAGCCAAAGCCGCTGGTTCAAAACATTGCCCTTTTTTAAGGTCTGCTACTCGTGGGTTCCAAGATGTTCCGAGTGTCAGGCTGCACCCATGCACTGCCATAGATGTTGTTGGTATTCTTCTTCGGGCACCCGCCGCTGAACGCCCCCACAGACCCCCAAGGCTAAAAACTGGGGTCCGAGTCCGATCTTGTTTTTCGAACTCTTGTTCGGATTTCTCATCTCTGTCTTTGCTTCTGAAGCTATGGATGGGCACACACACACACACTTGACATTCTTTCCAAGATTCTTTGTAGACCATGTATGTGGACATCATCCTTATATTATAATTGCCATATATGCATGCGCAGTTGCATATGCACATACACATACATATACAGTATATATATATACCCTGATCATTAGTACATTGGTGATTGCGATAAGGTTGTGAGGCTTCCAAGTGATCGAGTTGGATAGGGTTGCTTCCGGCTGAAGGCACAGGAATGCCTCCAAACAACCAGGCTGGATCAACCAGTGCCTCCCTACCTCCTTCAATTGCTTCATGAATGGCTGTAGGTGAGATCCGTCGACACCGATGCCGGTGTTTAGGATGCACGTCGGCGAGAAACGCCAATCTCATCATCCTACAGGGCTCAAAACCCAGCCTCCCACCAAACCCGCCTCCAAACTGAAATTGCCACCATTGACGGAACCGGCTCTGGGGCTGAACACAACCTGCCCGAGACTCGCAAGGAGCGGATGGTTGGCCTCTGATCCCGCTGCCCTGGCGCTGCCCAGCGGATGCCCGCGACCCAGAGACCCCAGTGGTTCGGCTCACCAGGATTTCAGGTGGAGACGGGGAAGAACTAGCAGCACATCCGTTGTAGGTGGCTCGAGAAGCTTGCACGAGTGTTTTAACATATGTTCCTTGAATCCTTGAATCCTTGCTCTGTTTGTGCAAAACCCTAATCACCGGAATGCCGGGACCGGGAAAACCGCTGACACAGCACTGAGGAAGAGGTGTTGAAAACAGACAGCGGCGAAACTGCCCGATCAGCACCCAAGTTTGTAGGATCAGCCGCCTCCTGCCTGAGACTAGACAGAATGTTCACCTACCTCACCTGCAGGTCATTGGGAGAGCACCCACTTTGATGCTGGGGACGTTGCAGCTTGGTAGCGAGGGGTGGAGGGCCCCAGTTCAAGAAGTGTCCGGTTGAACTTCAACAGCTGAAGGGGCCATGGTGGTTCTCAACTCCCACACACTTCGAACTTCGAACTTGGGTTTTCAGTTAGACTCAATTGCCACGATGGGAAG